TCACCCTAGCGCTAGGGCTTAGGGTTTAGGGTTTAGGGTTTGGGTTTAGGGTTTAGGGTTCAGGGTTCAGGGTTTAGGGCATACTTGGGGGCAAGAGTCTACAAACTCATGCCTACTTTGGGCTCTTTGCAACGCCAGGGTAAGCTGAAACCTTCACCTCGAAACCTAAAGGACCATGGGCTTTACTTAGGAACTGCTCATGTGGCGAAGAAAACAGGAAGAGAGGTGATGCGACGTAGGCTTGAAGCTACGAGTGACACGCACCTCTTTTTTGACCATGAGGCACAGGCCGGCTCAGTCTGGCATGAAGTCAAGCCGTGTGTATTCATTGCTGGAGGCCTTCTGGAGCGCCGCCCCAAGTTCATCGTGCGTCTCCTGCTCTGACTAAGATGAAGCATCCGAGAACATGAACAAGCAAACGACTCGGATTTACGAGTGGGGGCCCTATGGCTCTTTTTACTTCTGCTGCTACGGCTGCTCTCTGCAACCGCCAGGAAAAAAGAATCCAAAGCCGGTCTCCTTGAGCAGGGTGTAGTTGCTGAGGCCCGAAACGATCATGCGCAGCGCTTGAAGGCAAGGCATGTGGGCTTGGGCGACTTCGGATATGAAGGCCTCCACATCTTCGTGCGTCCGAAACCCCAGGTCCGCAACTTCGATCCGACGGACGCAGAGGCCGAACCTCACCGGCAGGGTTTATAGGGCTTAGGGTTTAGGGTTTAGGGTTTGGGGTTTAGGGCTGCAGGGGGCGTGGAGTCTGTACACCTTACTCCATGGTGGACGTCAACGAGTGGAGTCTGTACACCTTACTCCATGGTGGACGTCACCGAAATTCCCTCCCCCTTCTGCGCCAAGAAAGGGCGGAAATGCCAGGAGCCTAGGGCCGAGGGCCTAGTAAGCCCTGCACCCCACAGATCAGCAATCAGCAATCCTCCACTGCAAACCCCTAAACCCTAAACCCTAAACCCTAAAGACATCCCTGAGGCAGAGAAGCAAGTACTTGAAGGCCGATCCTCAGTTGCTGGGACGGAGATTTTTCGGGTTTAGGGTTTAGGGTTTAGGGTTTGGGGCTTCATGCTGCGAGCTGTCCTCTGCGCATGTCTGTCTGTGAAGGGAAAACTCCAAAAGCCCCAGAGCCCTCCAAGACCCCGTACCCCCAAATAGGTCAAGTAAACATCTCGGCCGCTCAACAAGACGGTAATCCCTTCCCCCTAACATTACAGGGTCCCCCCCCCCCCTCCTCGGCAGTATAAAACCCCCCCCAATTCCCCCCAAACTGTTTTAAGGGATTTTCGGGCCAGAGGTTTTATATATATATATATATATATATTAGGGGTGCATTTTTACTAGGAGTAGACAATGCCATCGCATGGGTTCATGTGGGGCAAACCCTAATTCAATACGCAACCCTAAAAACCTAAACCCCAACGCCTGCAAACTCCAAAACCCTAACCCCTAGGGCCCTACTCCCAAAAAGATTAGCCTTTAGCTCCCCCAAAACCCGATATACACCCTAAAACCACAACAACCGACATAAACCCTAAAACCCTGTAAAGAAACTAAAAACCCTCAACAAACCCTGAAAAACCTGCACAAAAACCGAAAAAACCCTAAAACTGCCTTTTTAAACAACTAATTAAAAACAAAAAAAACACCAACAAAAGCGGGTAGATCGCTCAGACGCGCCCAGGCTTCTGGGGAAAGGGCGCTGGCCGGGTCGCGAGGAGATCTCCAGGCGCTCAAAGGGCGCAGTGCCATTGTGCCGGGTTGCCAAGGCTGCGTGGAGCTCTGACATGTCCTTAGAAGCTGTACGCATGGGTAGCTCTCTAATCTTAGGGTCCTTTTTGGGGGTATACATATGTATATATATATATATATAATGTATATACATATATATATATATGGGGTTTCCGAAAATAGGGGTTCCCTTTTTGGGGTCCCTTTAAGGGCATTCTATTCTTCTATTTACGTATAAACGGGGTACCCCTATCTTGGGAAATACACATTTATGTATATTAGAAGGGTGCCACATTATAGTTGGGCCCCTTTTTGGGGTCCCCAAACAGTCGGATTCCCTTATTATAAGGACCTAAATAAGGTACCCACCTATTTTCGGGAACCCCATCTGGGTAGTTCGGTAGTTCTCTAATGTTTGGGTCCTTAATATAAGTGTGCCACGTTATGTGGGTGACCCGGCCCCTAATTTAGAGTACGCCCATCGGTGCAACCCGACCCTAAAACCCTTAAACCCTTGTTGAGGGTTGTTTCAGGAGAACATCTTCCAGGAAACCTAGATACAGGGACCATGAGGTACTCAGGGGAATAGAAGGACTCTATCAGACTGCCACCCCAAACCGTCCCAGAATACTGCCCTACAAGGCCTGAGCACTCGTTACGAACCAGCAATGGGTTTAGAGCTCGCAAGGCTCTTGCAACCAGGTGTCGGCTTCGGATAGATACCAAGACTTGATAGACAAGGATCGCAGTCCAGTGAGATTTCGAACGACTTTGAAGAAGCCCGTGTCCAATGGGAACGTAGAATCCTCGAACTTGTCTCCGCTGATGTTCAGAACCTCAACCTGGATGCTTCGCTTGAAAAAACCCAACTGAACTTGGATCCTTAAAACCAATTGAAGAACATGCCTAGATGTGTTCTCCTGATAAACCCAATAAGGGAGAACGATGAAGCCTTGAATTGTTAGCGTCGAGCGCACAAAACTTCTATGGTCCTGAACCCCCGCGCCTGTTCGCACGGATGCAGTTGGAGCAGCCTGGACAAGTCCTCGTTTTGTTGTTTCTTTTCTATGCTGGACTCACCTTTTCCGGTGTAGGGACTTTAAGGGGGGTTTAGGGGCTAAGGGGCTAAGTCCTTTGCGGGTGTAGGGATTCTTAGAGGGCTTAGGGGCTTGTAGGGTTTAGGGGGGTTTAGGGGGGTTTAGGGGGGTTTAGGGACCCTAAACCCGAAACCCTAAACCCTAAACCCTAAACACTCCTCCAACTCCCTTCGTCGCGGGAGCGCGGGGCCCAGTTCCTTGCAGCTTTGCCAAGTTGGAAGCAGCCGCTCCAGGTAGGGCCTTGGCTCAGACTTGAAGCCCTCTGAAACATGATCATCAACGAGACCCTAAACCCACATCTTCAACCCAACGAGGACAAACTTTGAATGGGCATTTCCCAAATAGGGGGGGGGGGGACCCTTTTTATACCCCAAGTAGAATAGAACCCCCTTAAAGGGACCCCCAAAAAGGGTACCCCTATTTTCGGTAAGCCCCAATGAGGCCAAACTTTAAAATCTCCCAGTTGGAACAGCCCAGGAGCCGGTTGGAGCCACGCTCCAAAGCTACAGTCACGAGAGCCTGCGGCATAGACTGAGTCAAATTGCCGATGAACTTCAGCCATGAAAGCCTGGGCTTGTAGGGTTTGAGCGTTTAGGGGAATGTGTAGGGCTCCGGGTAGTTTCGGGTTTACAGGGCTTCGGGTAGCTTGTGGAATCAGGGCAGTTTAGGGTTTGGGCCGTAGGGGCAGGCAGGGGAAGGCATTGACAGACTGACACGCACGCACAGACGTAGACACAGACACATGCACGGACACAAACACGACAGACACAGACACGACAGACACAGACACAACAGACACAAACACAGACGCAGAGACAGACACAGAGACAGACACGAACACAGAGACAGAGACAGACACCGAGACAGACGCAGAGACACACACACACACACACAGAATCAGAGAGCCACACACAGACGCAGAGAGACAAACACAGATGCAGAGAGAAAGACACAACAGACGCAGAGAGAGAGAGAGAGAAAGAGACACACACACACACACAGAGAGAGACACACACTCTAAGCGTCCAGCCATGTTTTCCAGGAAGATGTGCAGGAAGCCTATTGGTGTCGACGCGTTTTGTTTCAGATAGCAGCAGCTTTTCTCAAAGCAAAAACCAAACACAAACGACTCGACCCTTTAGCCCCCACTGTACAACAACAACAACCAAAATCCTCGACCTGAACCATACACCCTTAAACCATCGACTGGACACCCCCAAAACCCTGGAACCTTAAACCCTGAAACCCTGAAATCCTGAATGGCAAACCCCAAACCCTGAAACCCTAAACCCTGAACCCTAGGCCCGAAACCCTGAAACCTCTAAATCCTGAAACCCTGAAACCCTGTAACCCTAAAGCCCTGACACCCTAAACCCTATCACCCTGAAACCCTACACCCCCAACCCTAAAACCCTGAAGCCCTGAAGCCCTAAATCCCTAAACCCCAAACCCCAAACCCTAAACCCTAAAACCCTAAAACCCTAAACCCTAAACAAGAAAACACCCAAACCAGAAAACAAAAACAACAACCCTAAACCCTAAGCCCTAAGCCCTAAGCCCTAAACCTAAACACTAAACCCTCAACCCTCAACCCTCAACCCTAAACCCTAAACCCTAAACCCTAAACCCTAAACCCTAAACCCTAAACCCTAAACCGCCGGCCCGGAGGCTGGTCGAAGCCTTCCTCACCTTCCAGCTTGGCAACCACATCCCAAGCCTCGCTGGGTTTAGGGTTTAGGGTTTAGGGTTTAGGGTTTAGGGTTTAGGGTTTAGGGTTTAGGGTTTAGGGTTTAGGGTTTAGGGCTTAGGGTTTAGGGTTTAGGCCCCACCTTCACGGCTTGTGGGGAATGGAGGGTTTTTGAGGTTGTGGTTGTCAGGGGCTCAGGGCTTAGGGTTCTAGGGCTTGGGGGTTCAGAGGCTCTAGGGCTGAGGGGGAAAGAGGTTCTCTAAGACTTGGGAGTCCAGAGGAAACGCGAATAGGGTTATTTAGGAATGCTAGGCACCACCTAAACCGGAGCCTCATTCGCGAACTTGACAGATCTCGTGTTCATTTCCAGCGTGTAGTTGTAGAAACTGGTGTCTTGGCTGATGCTTGCCCTAAACCCTAAACCCTAAACCCTACACCCTACACCCGAAACCCGTCAAGGTTGAGCTTGTAGGGTTTTCAAGTCATCGGAATTTCAACGCTTTGGAAACACGATACGACATGATTCCCAGGCCATGCAAGGTACTCATCTTCTCCGTCACACACCCGTGGATGCTTCGGATCATGTCCATCGACCCAGTACGAACTGCCGACGACATCCAATGAAACCATGTGTTGCTCTTGTCTTCCTCTATCCGTCGCCTGTGGCCTTTGCGATCGCGCTCGAACTTGCTCGTTCGCCTACATGCGCAGGAGTTGGCCCACTTCAGCCAGGGCTGCCTTGGTAGCCCAGTAACCATACCATACCATAATAAAGGCACACTTGTTTTGCGTTGGCTACTCTTATATGGGAACCCATAACAACACATGGCAAAGGGTACCACCGGGCTACCAAGTTGCTCAAGACAAATCAGTCGTGCGGCTGCAACACCAAGTGGACGCAGACTCGGGCGAAGAGAAGAGAGGCTCTGGAACAAGACAGGGACCTCGACGTTGGCCTTGCTCACATACGTCGGCATCGGGATCGTTTTCTGCAAGAACACCTTGTCGTACGCCTTGGTAGCCCAGTGGCTTTTTAATGAAGGCACCCTTTTGGGGGAGTTGGTTCCTGTTTAAGGGAACCCCTAATCACTAGAAGGGTAACGGGTACCACTGGGCTACCAAGATGCCCAGGAGGAAAAGTTCGTCCAAGGGCAGGACTCGGGCATTGGGGGCCATGGCAGCTTCTGCGCTTTGACTTGGCAAGCCAAGAGGCTTGCAAGTTGTCCTCTCGATAGCCCAGTAGGCATATTTTAACAAGGGCAGTTTTTTCGGCTTGGTTTCTCTATGAGGGAACCCATAGCCAAAAAAAGGGTCAAGGGTACCACTGGGCTATCAGCTACCAAGTCCTGTAGGAAGACGGTTGTCGTGTTCCGCCTGAGCGATTCGCCATTGCTCGCAAAGCTTGGAGTAGTCGCACTCGCCCGTAGCCAAAGCATCGTCGACCATCGCGCAGAGGGCATCCGCAGACTTCCCCAGAAAATTCAGACCTGCCCTTGGCACCCGGTCGAGCAACTTGCATCCATACTGCTTCGCAGCCCACGCTGCTGGAGAGTCTCCCTGGTCAAAGCGCACCTCCCAGTCTCTCAGTTTGATTCCGACTCTAACATGCAGGGTAGCTCAGCAACCATACTACAACAAGGATGCCCTGTTTTGGGTTGGTTGCTTTATCAGGGAACCTTGAACCTAAAAGGGAAAAGGGTACCGTTTAGAGTCAGGGTATCAAAGTAATCAGCGTCAACGCGCCTGCCGAGGCTTGTCTTTACAGGGCTCTGAGAATTATCAGCAAGTCGTAGCCTAACCAAAAACCCTAATTACTGTCAACCCGCAAGGTTCTCTAAGGCCTGTAGACCCGCTTGAGCCCCCCCCCCCCAGTCCCCAAACCCTAAACCACCACGACTCTCTGGATCCTCTGAACCCACTACAGCCCTCTAAACCTTAAAGCCTGCCCCAAATCCCCGCCAAAACCCTGTAAACTCTAAAGCCCTCCAAAACCCCACAAACACCCCCCAAAACCCTCCCTATATAATATAGTATTCTGTTATATTAATTTATTTAATATACACAGAACTAAATAAAATAAATAAAATAAATAAAATGAATAAATAAATAAAATAAATCAACAAAAATATACTAAAAAAGTATATATATATATACGCACACATACATATATATATATATATATATATAGCCTAGTACACCCGCGTTCGTGCCTCCAAACGGTGCTGGTGCCGGCGCCGCGGCCACAGACCCCACCGCTCCTCCGCAGCATCCCGGGGTTCCACCACGAAGCGACCCGGTGGAGGACTCACCCAGGGGCTGAACCTCGGAGGGTTTAGGGTTTAGGGGTTAAGGTTTAGGGGTTAGGGTTTAGGGATTAGGGTTTAGGGATTAGGGTTTAGGGTTTTTAGTTTTTTGGGCGGGTGTTTTTGTTTGTGATTGGGTGGGTGGGGGGGGGGGTGTATATGTGTGTGTGTGTGTATATACATATATACACATACATGCGTGGAAGTTGATTAATTAATACATGTCTAGTGTAGGGTTTAGGGAGGGTTACACGGTTTAGGGCGGGGTTTAGGGTTTACGGTTTCGGACGTTTAGGGATAGGATGGGCTACTGCAGCTACTGCTATTAGCTTATACTCCTTACAAGAGTCTCTCTCTCACTCTCTCTCCATCTCTCTCTCTCTCTCTCTCTCTTCACCCTCTCTCTCTTCACCCTCTCTCTATCTCTGTCTCATTGCAATCTGTTCTCCTTCTTCACCCTCAGGTCCCAGTCCCAGTCGTCAGCCTCAAATTCTCAAATACACGTTTTCTCTCGCACTCTCTCTCTCTCTCTCTCTGTCTCGCTTTCTCTCTCTCTCTCGCTTTCTCTCTCTCGCTTTCTCTCTCTCTCGCTCTCTCTCTCTCTCTCTGTCTCTCTCGCTTTCTCTCTCTCTCTCTCTCGCTTTCTCTCTCTCTCTCTCTCTTTCTCTCTCTCGCTTTCTCTTTCTCTCTCTCTCTCTCTCTCTCTCTCTCTCTCTCTCTCTCTCTCTCTCTCTGTCTCTCAAAGTGACAATCCCCCGACAACCCAACCCTTAAACTGGTAGGTATTGCGTTCCGAACAAGCCCTAAGCCCTAAACCTTCGTGAGGTGTCAGCTCAGCCAGCACAACAAAAAAAGAACAAGGTGGAGCATGCCGGGCTGCGGTACCAAAGTCGTCGTCGTAGTAGTAGTAGTCGTCGTAGTAGTAGTAGTAGTAGTAGCAGTAGTAGTAGTAGTAGTAGAAGTAGTAGTAGAAGTAGTCGTAGTAGTTTTCGCTGCACTGCACGACAAGCACCCTCCGGATCTGGCTCGAATGATCCGCCTCCGGATTGCCCCTCCAAAAAACACGGAGGTATCTCCGGTATAATTCTTTGCAGGAAGTTCTCCACTGCCCAGGCTTTTGTTTGCAATAGTAGCAATAGGAACCCGGTCGTGGTACCACCCAAATATCGTGGGGTGGCGGAAACGTTTCAGAAAGCTCCACCAAATCAGGGTCAGGCCTTTTTGAACACCTCCTTTGACGACCCAAGCAGGGACGAAAAGACAGGTGGCCTCCCGCTCTACGGCCTGGCGACCCAGAACGGCGGGAGGAACGAAGGACGAACGGCGGGAAAAACGGGAGCAGCGTGACCACGAAGAACAACAGGAACGGGACGAGGCCCGTCCTCCACCCATCTGTCCTCGTTCTTGCACTTCGCGCGTGAGCACAATAGCTGTCCTAACAGTCTAACAACCCCACTGAGGGTGGAACATGAAGGCTTTCGGAGGCATTTGGCGCTCAATTAACCCGGTCCTTGACACTCAGTGAAAGGTATGGTGCAGGTTGGCACCCAAAGCTGGGCAGGTAGCCACAAACCATGGCCTCGGCCAAGAGAGAGCCTGAAGTCATTTTGATGTGACGCCTTGTTCCGCTGAACACGGATGACCCGCTTGCTCATCCACGTGAGGATCATTGCGACCTTTTTGCGCCTGCAGTCGTGAATGTGTGATGTTAGTTGAAGATTTGTTAGTGGTCATGACGACTGCGCATGTGGCGCTTCATCCTAGTTGCACTGCAACACACCGTCCTAGTTTTTTGTGTGCTCAAAGTGGGTTCCCTCTAGGAAAACGGGCTTGTAAATATAGTAGTGGATGCATGAAACATGCAGGCGGGTGTTTGCAAAAGGATATATTTGGCGAGAAGGCTTTTAAGAGTTTATTTAAACCCACACCATCACGAATTTTGGACATCTGTCCGACGGGTGTCGACTTTTGAAAGTGCAAGTTTTTGACTGTATGCATGCTTGACACGTAAGAACACCTCTGTAGGACAGATGTGGCCCGGACACATGTCCCGAACACGTTTGCGAGATCTGTCCCGAGCATGTGTGCAGCTGTCCCGAGCATGTGTCGCTGACATGTGTCCGACATATGTCCCCAATATGTGAAGGCTCTTGGTTCAAACATTTGTTTTAAAACTAGGCTGCCCAGTAACCAAGGCTTAAAAAGGGTGCCCTTTTTTGCTTAAAGGGGTTAATAAGGGAACCTAAACCCCCCAAAAAGGGAATAAGGGTACTACTGGGCATCCCAGAACTTAAACGGTTCAAATCCACCTGAAGCCGGGCCAATGGAGTACAGAAGAGTGCAACTGAGGAAGTGGATCGGAGGAGATTCTCTCCGAAAACGGTACTCGAAAAATTTTGGGTTTAGGGTTTAGGGTTTAGGGTTTAGGGTTTAGGGTTGAAAGTGAGTTTCAAAGGTAAGTACGTCGTGGTGGTGGTTATCGTCGTCATCGTCGTTCCTTTTTAGGGTTCATTTCGGGTTTAGGGCCCCGGGCCTTCCCCCGTAGTCGTTGAATCCAAAAGGGCGGCCATTGAAAGCGGTTTAGGGTTTAGGGTTTAGGGGTTGTTGCGTCTTCACTTTGCTTGCTTGTTTTGTTTGTGCGGCTGTGTTCTAGGTTCCTGAGCCTTTAGGCCCCAAACCCGAAACCAGTCACGGATGACCATTGTGAAGATGATCAGCAATAAAACATCCAGTCCACGAGTTCGAGGAAGCTCTATAAACCTCTTAAACCCTTTGGTTCCTTTTCAAGTAGGGTTTAGCTTCACGAACTACATGGTATACCCTTGACCAGCGCCTAATTATTTCACTCGAAGTACGATAATACCCAGCTAAACCGGTCACAGGTCAAGCAGACTATATCCGCGAGCATGGAAGATGCCAGGTTTCGGGTTTGGGGTTACCGTGGCATGGGGAGGGGGAGGGTCTCAGGATTAACAAAACCCCAACTCAACACCGGAATGAACCCGCACACGGGAAAGACTCCTAAACCCTAAACCCTAAACCCTAATCTCCTGAATTATGGGCGCAAGGGCGTGAAGTGAATCGACTCCGATGTTCGTGAGGCTGTTGGGGAGGCACCGCAGGCACGGTAACGCTGCCTGAGGAAGTTGCTCTGGTTGCCTCGGTTTGGGAGGTTTAGGGTTTAGGGTTTAGGGTTTAGGGTTCAGGGTTCAGGGTTTAGGGTTGATTTAGGGGGCCATGCGCCCCAATCTGGCTTCGGGATTCGGGTTTAGAACCCTGAACCTTAAACCCTAAACCCCAAACCCTAAGCACGAACCCTAAACCCTAAACCCTAAACCCTAAATCCTAAACCCTAAACCCTAAACCCTAAACCCTAAACCCTTAGGGTCTCGGCGGAACAGGTTCGAAGTTTGAGCTCCCTGACCTGCAGCTATATGTCCTCAAGGACCGCAAGACACATGGGTGGCATGTGGGGGGTTGAGGGTTTAGGGTTGAGGGTTTAGGGTTTAGGGTTTAGGGCTTAGGGGTAACCGCCATATGCAAATTCTACTTGCATGTTTACATGAACTTCCTGTCTTCCATACATCGACATATTGAGTATCATGTATCGACCTATATATCTGTATACACATATACATACGTACATACATACAGACATACATATATATATATACAGATGATGCTTTCGAGCTTCTACATACCTACATCAACACACACAACATGCATATTTGTGGCGCGCGGAGACGCAGACAGCACAGAGAGAGAGAGAGAGGAAGTTCGAATCAGCACGTTGGATCCGCAGTGCACCTACTCCACAGCCAGGTTGCAGCGCTCAAAGTCCGGCGGCAAGTCCCGATCTTGCCTAACTTTTGGCATTCATGGCACTGGAGTCAGCAAGTCCTTTTTCCTTCTGGGCTTAGGCCTTACGCTTGAAACCTTTCTTATAAGAGATGAGTCAGGATGAAGAAAAGGCTTCCATGGACGGCTCAGTCGCATGCGCGTGCCATCGTTCGGTATGCTCGTCCAGCGAACTTGAAAATGAGTGTCGGGCAGAATTGGAACGACGATAAGCTGGAGGAGGTGGAACCGGAAAGGGTCGAACCTGCGCGCGGTCACAATAAGATCCCCATCCTTGGACACCACGCCGTCAGCACGCAGGACCTCGGTGGTGTTCCTTAGTTGAGTTCATAGGCTCCCCCCCCAAAATGTACACTTTCAGTTCTATAGGGGGTTATAGTATCCCAAAAAGTGTAAAGTGTGCTCATTCAGCTAACCCTAAACCCTAAACCCTAAACCCTAAACTCTATACCCTAAAACCCCTAAACCTCTAAACCCTAAGCCCTCAACCCTAAACCCTGCCAAGGTTCTGTGTACTACCGATCAGCTTGACGAGAACATCCGTCGCCAAAGGTAAGTCGCGGTACAGGCCTCGGCTTGCTTTTGTTTAGGGTTTAGGGTTTAGGGTTTAGGGTTTAGGGTTTAGGGTTTAGGGTTTAGGGTTTAGGGTTTAGGGTTTTGGGTTTTGGGTTTTGGGGTTTAGGGCTTAGGGTTTAGGGTTATATAAGGGTTTAGGGTTTTAGGGTTTAGGGTTTAGGGTCTAGGGGCAAATGCCCACTGGCTGTTTCTAGGGAATGAGAAAATGAGGTGCTCGTTATAATCCCTTCATGGTAGATATAAATAGGGGATTTACAGTACCTAGTTCCCTCACTCCTACTCAGAGCCAGTAGGAAAATGTTCCTAAGTAGATGTGCACATCTACTAAACCCTAAACCCTAAAACCCTAAACCCTTATATAACCCTAAACCCTAAGCCCTAAACCCCAAAACCCTAAACCCTAAACCCTTAAGTCTTAAGTCCCAAGGACTAACCCTGATTATCCCCATGTCCTACTCAGAGCCAGCAATAAAATCTTCCTAGCTTGACGAGTCCTAAGTACGATGAAGCCCCGACCTCAACCTAAACCCTAAACCCTAAACCCTAAACCCTAAACCCTAAACCCTAAACCCTAAACCCTATGTAACATCCCAAAAGAAATGCCTGGGAGCTCATAGCCTCGGCGTAGATCGGCGTCCCTTCCAGCCCCTTCTCTCGCATGAGTCTCAAACGGAGCTGCCCGGTGATCCCACCACGCCAGTCCGGCTGCACAGATCCGAACCTTTAGGGTTTAGGGTTTAGGGTTTGGGGTTTGGGGTTTAGGGTTACTTAGTTGCTCAGTTCATAAATGACCAAAAAAAAAAAGTGTAGACTTTCAGTTCTAGTGGGGATTATGGTATCCCAAAAAGTGTAAAGTGTGCTCACTCAGCTACTACGAAGAAGCCCGGTAACCATACTTTGATAAGGGCACCCTTTTTTGGAGGTTGGTTACTGTATAAGGGAACCTTGAACCAACAAATATGGTAAAGAGTACCCCTGGAGTACCAAGTATACCAACCCTTATATACGCTAGAAGAAACCAAGGGCCCCCTACTCAGGACCCCTTCAAACAGGGGCAAGGGACCAATCCCTAAACCCTAAACCCTAAGCCCTAAACCCTAAAACCTAAACCCTAAACCCTAAACCCGAGAAACCTCGCCGTCTGGTGTTGCACGTCGATGGCCCGGCCGCACTCTGCGCCCTCAGCGCCTTCAGCCCTCACCTCGGATGGCCCCTGCAAACCCCTCTGAAAAAATATGTATTCCTGTTAGGGTTTACGGTTTAGGGTTTAGGGTTTAGGGTTTGGGAAAGTGGTGGATGCTCCGCCCGGGTGAGTAGGGTTTAGGGTTTAGGGTTTAGGGTTTAGGGTTTAGGGTTTAGGGTTTAGGGTTTAGGGTTTAGGGTTTAGGGTTTACAGAGTAGGGTATTCCTGAATATGATCCCCTTAAACCCAATAAGGGAAAAAAACAAACTGCCCCAACTTAAAGGGCCCATCTAGTCACGCACCCAAACATCTGCGCTATGTAGGTGTCGTTGACCTCGCTCAGAAGGCCTCCCACACCAGCGCAGCTTTGACGCTCATGCCATTCGTGGCTGTGGTAGGCTGCATAACCTTGGACCCATCAGACTCAACAAAGAACCAGCCAATGGAGGTTGGGGGTTTAGGGTTTAGGGTTTAGGGTTAGGGTTTAGGGTTTAGGGTTTAGGGTTTAGGGCCAGGATCTAGGAGTAGTCATGAATTTCTTTCTGGGCGCGCAACTCCAATCCCTGAAGTCTTAGCCTCTCTCCTGAAGCCAAGTATACTGCATGCATGTGAATTCGACACCTCGAAAGCAAAGAAAACCGTTCAAGTCCGCTGCAGCCCATACAGTAAACACAACAACCCTCCCCTACTGAAGGCAACAACTAAACAGCCCTCAAGCAAATCCAAGACCCTGAACTACTACTCGCTTAAGAACCCCCCCCCAAAAAAAAATAGTCTTCCATCATTTGACAATACAGGGGTTATTGTCTTCTATTTTTCGGGGGTTCTTATGCATATAGTACCCCAAACTCTAAACCCTAATTAAACCCTAAGCCCTTAACTTAGCCTAAACCCTGATCCCAAGCATACTGATAGTAGCAGAGCTTTGAAAATGACAATCCTCAAACCCACAGGCCCAGAAGCAGCCTTGGGTGCCTTTGAAGGAGGCGATGCAATCTGGATCGTCCAGGCAATCGATTTCTGGGCGGCGGTTTAGGGTTTAGGGTTTAGGGTTTAAGGCTTAGGGTTTAGGACGTTGCTTTCACCGAGTATAGTATTGAACCATTCCCGTTCCGAACCGAACCCCGACACCCAGCACCGTACCGCCCTCCCTCCAATCCCTCCAACCCTCAACCCTAAACAAACCCTAAACCCCAAACCCAAAACCCAAACCCTGAACCCTAAACCCGAAACCCGAAACCCTGAACCCGAAATCCTGGCCGACCCAAAACGTCCTAAGCTCCCAATGCGCGTCTCAGGAGCTGCAGGTTGAGCCATTCCGAGGCTGATAGAACACCTAAGTGTTCAGGGCTTAGGGTTACAGGGTTACAGGGTTTAGGGTTTAGGGCTTAGGGTTTAGGGCTTAGTAAATAGAATGGGGGGGGGGGGGGGGGGGGGGGGGTGACTATCATGTAGTTTTTACCGAGACCATAAGGAAAAAAAAGGAAATACTACTACTTACTATTTCGACCCGTATAATAAAACCCAAAACCCCCCCAAGCCCCAAAGCCAATGAAGGGAAAAACACAAAGAACGGTACTGCTTGGGGGTTCATGGCACTCATTAGCCAACTCTAACTCTAACAGTCCTTATACCCCACTTACAAGCCCCTTAAGTGCCCTAATATGGATATAAGTACAGCTATCCTAAACCCTAAACCCCTTTTAAGTACAGTCGTAATTGGTTGATAAGTACCATGGACCTCCTGGTGAAGGGCTGCCCAGGCGCAGACCAGGTCGCATGTCTAGCCACTCCCTTGGCTGAGCATTCGCTGGCTTAGGGTTTAGGGTTCAGGGTTCAGGGTTCAGGGTTCAGGGTTCAGGGTTCAGGGTTCAGGGTTCAGGGGTTCAGGGTTCAGGGTTCAGGAATTAGGGTTTAGGGTTTAGGCTTTAGGGTTCAGGGTTTGCAGGGTTCAGGGTTGGAAGTTTGGGGCTTAGGGCTTTAGGGGTATATAGGGTGGATCGAGTTGCAGGTTCAAAGGGGTTTACAGGCTTTATCGGGTTTATAGGCTTTATGGGGTTTAGGGTTGAGGGTTTTGAGTTTAAGGCTGAGGGCTTGTGTGCACCGTCAAACGAAACATAGAAATTCTCCAATTCCCTGACCCCGCGGAGGATCCAAAAAGCAGATCCTCTTAAGGGTTCCTAAGAATGACCCAATCGTATTGTGAGGAAGTTCGAACTCTTTTTCAAGTTGTAGAGAGCCCGTCGCAACAACTCCGCCCCAAAAAGCCCTAACCCCCAAACCCGAAAGCCCAAGCGCACACTACGAGTACCTGCTCCACAAGACGTACAACCTATAGATAGGTTGTAACTATGGGAAAAAGCCTTCAAATAAGGTAATCCGGCAAACTCGGCTGCAGGCAAACCCTACTTATACCCTAACCCCGCGCTAAATTGCAGCCTTCTTAACTCAGACCCCCGGGAGGATCCCAAAAGGAGAACCCCCACATAGTTCCCTATACTACGATTGGGTCGTCCTTAGGAACCCCTAAACCCTAAACCCTAAACCCTAAACCCTGAACCCTAAACCCTAAACCCTAAACAACAGAGCCAAGCTTCGAGTCGATGAGCCTGATCCCGCGACAGGGGCACGCCGAGCACGAAGTCGGCGAAGATGATGGTGGCGTTCAGGGCCTGACGTCTTCCCACAGCACAAAAGTGGGGGCTCTGGGTCGGTTTAGGGTTTAGGGTTTAGGGTTTAGGGTTTAGGGTTTAGGGTTTAGGGTTTAGGGTAGGGTTTAGGGTTTAGGGTTTAGGGTTTAGGGTTCAGGGGTGGGGTTACATAGGCTTTAGGGTTCAGGGTTCAGGGTTTAGGAATGGCGATGCCAGGTCGCCAAACCTCGCCAAAGGGGTACACACCTGACGCCCCGACTTGTTCTACTTGGCGGTTCATGGTACTTATTAGCCAAATTGTGACTGTACTCATGTTATAAGCCCTTAAGTGCCCTATTGTGCTTATAAGTACAGTTTTAAGTTCAGCTATAGTTGGTCGATAAGTACCATGAACCTCCAAGTAGGGCTTCAGGGGTTCTAGGGATAAGGGTTGACCGGCATCCGGGGCCGAACCCTGATGAACTCCACACCAAAAAGTAGAACCACCAAATAGGGTTTAGGGTTTAGGGTTAGGGTTTAGGGTTTAGGGTTTAGGGTTTAGGGTTTAGGGTTTAGGGTTTGGGGTTTGGGGTTTGGGGTTTGGGGTTTACGGTTTAGGGTTTAGGGTGTAGGGTTTAGGGTTTAGGGTTTAGGGGCAAGGGCTTAGGGTGTAGGGGACCCTATACTACTGCTCAAGCATCCCCGACTCCTCTGACTGGAGCCCCTCATCCCTTTAGCGCGAAAAGTTGCCTGAAAGGCCAGCGAACCAACCCCAAACCCTAAACCCTAAACCCTAAACCCTGCTAGCCATGAATCTGAGCTCAAGACCCGAACCCCAGAACCCTGAAACCCTGAAACCTAGGCCCTGACACCCGAAACCAGAACACCTTGATCCTAAGCCCCAAGCCCAAATTCCTGAACCGAGAACCCTCAAACCCTGACCCCAAAACCCCGTCATGCCAAAGATACGCAACAGACCCTACTTTCTCCGTACCCCTTCTAAGGGCTCTAAACACTAAACCCTGCACCCTAACCCCCTAAACCCTAGCCCTAAACCCTAAACCCTAAACCCTAAACCCCAAACCCTTAAACCCTAAACCCTAAACCCCTACAACACAACATGCCCTGAACCCCCAGAGCTCCGGCCTTCACAGCAGGTGGGATGCTCAGCTGGCTTCCGGGCACAGTGGCCCAAGCCAGACAACGTCGGAATCCCGAGCTGGCATCCTCCTAGGCTGGTTTAGGGTTTGGGGTTTAGGGTTTAGGGTTTAGGGTCTAGGGTTTAGGGTTTAGGGTTTAGGGTCTAGGGTCTAGGGTCTAGGTTTTAGGTTTTTGGGTTTCGGGTTTAGGGCCTTTGGCTTAGGGCCTAGGGTTTCTTCGGTTGGCTCTTCAAACTAGGTTAGAAAAGTTTACCCTGCGAGAAATATTCCTGGGATATGATCTTCTGAAACCCAATACAAGCAAAAAAAACACACCCCAGGGCCGACCTAGCCAAGGAGAACTCGAGCTTAGGGCGGGGTTTGGTTTTCCAGGGTTTAGGGTTTAGGGTGTCAAGGGCTCAAGTACTTGTTTGGTAGTGTAGTTTTTGTTGCTTGCAGGGTCAGGGTTAGGGTTTCTGGTTTGGCGGCTTGATTGCTAGGAAGAAGTTGCCAGAATAAGAGACCTGGACAGCAACTCTGTGTAAACCACTTGAAAATGTTCCTAAATTACTTAAGATGATTCTCTTAAGCAAAATCTAAAAAGGACAACGAACCCCTAAACCCTAAAGACTCAAAACAAAAAAACACCTCCCAAAGGCACACCTAGCTTCAAGCAAGAGGACCTGGCGCGGTGCAGAGCTCGGAGCTTTCGGCTTTCAGGCTTTCAAGGTATGAGGTTAGGGGTCTCAGGCGGTTTCGGGTTTAGCAGGGTTAGGGATCCAAGCCCTAAGCCCTGAATCCTGTGAAACTCGGGGGCGGGGGGGGGGGGGGGGGGGGGGGGGGGGGGGGGGGGGGGGGGGGGTTCCACGTTGCACGGTTTGGCTACCCAAATTGGGGGGGGGGGGGGGGGGGGGGTGTGCAGCTTAAATCGGGTCTATTTGGAAGCTGAGACTCGTGTTTTAAAGAGGAAATAAGGCCCCAAAACGTATACTTATTTACAAGAGACAACTTCCAAATAGACCCTATTATCGTTTCTGGGGGGTCTGGGGCAAGGAATTAAATAATTTAAATAATTTAAATCCGAAAGGGGCGTTCCGGATTTAAATTATTTAAATTATTTAATTCTGGGAGGGGGAGGGGGCCTGGGCCTGGCCCCTCCCCTTTTCGGATTTAAATTATTAAAATTATTTAAATTATTTAAATTATTTAAATTATTTAAATTATTTAAATTATTTAAATTATTTAATTCCGGGGGGGGGGAATTAAATAATTTAAATAATTTAAATCCGAACCCCCCCTTTCAGATTTAAATTATTTAAATTATTTAATTCCCCCCCCGGAATTAAATAATTTAAATAATTTAAATAATTTAAATAATTTAAATAATTTAAATAATTTAAATAAATTAAATCCGAAAAGGGGGGGGGGGGCCAGGCCCAGGCCCCCTCCCCCTCCCAGAATTAAATAATTTAAATATTTTAAATCCGAAAGGGGCG